CGTGATTATTATTTGATTTGCAATTATTGCAGGGGCCAATGCCCCCCACCAAGCCAAAACATTGCTCCTTCTTGGGAAATTGGATCACTTTTGTCTAGCAAAAAAAAAAAAAAGAGATCACTTTTCACTTTTTTTTTACTTATCTACAACGTGATCTCCAACTAATTTGACCCTTTTAAGATATAAAAAAGAAAAGAAAATAACATTTAAATATATGTATAGGATTCAGTGTTATCAACTCGGATCATCGATTCGGTCGGGATAATGGGTTATCTATTCAACCACATGAATTAAATATATATAATAAAATATAAATATAGAATTAGAAACATTTTAGCTAATAATTAAAGTTGATTTAATGGTAAGTGCTATAGTTATAATACCTACAAATTTCATTAATAGTATTTTTAAGGTATACTGTCCTAAATTTACAAAATTGATTTTTTTTAAATCGGTGTAGATTGAACCCAGTTCAAGAAAAATTCACCGATTTCATACTGAATTAAATATATAACCGATTCAATACCTAAATTAGATCAATAGAAGATCCAATTTACAGGTCAACCGGTCGGATTTTTATAACACTGATAGCAGCAACATTTAATTGCTTTTTGTAAGTTCTTTTAAGAAGTTTTTTATTTTATTTTAAAACAAGCTATTTTTAATATGAATTGAATTATGTTTGATCAAACAGGCTTGTCCTTCTTTCTTAATTTATGTTTGAAATGTAATATTTTTAAGTGGCAATGTTTAATCACCAATTAATGAACTGCATTTAAGTAAGATACATTGTATGTATATCTGGATTAGTTTGACAAAAATGTTTTAAAAATAATAATTGTTTTCATAAAAATGATAATTATTTTCATAAAAATGAAACAATCTTAAACATTTTAGTAACCGATTAATCAAAGTTTTTTTTTTAGCTATAGAGAAAAGATAAACAAATTTAATTAATCTTTTTTTGGGTTTCATTATACTCCTAAATCTTAATTAAATTTGTTAATTCCGTTATCCAAAAGTTGTTGGTTTGAATTTTATGAATCCCAATTTCTGATGATAATGGAGAGGCATAAATCCAAAATCGAATTAGACACCAATTGATCTTTATTTTTTATTTTTTTTTGTTAATTCCGTTATCTTCTTTGTTCAAAATTGGACCCAAAATATTCTTTTTTATTATTCATGTTTCCAATATTAATAATAGTTTTTAATATTATTCTAGAGTGGAACAGTGACCAAAGTGCCACTGTTCCACAACTTATTTCCCTAAATGCCACGTCAACAGTGCAATTTTCCAATATGCCACGCGGACAAGTTCGCTACAGTGCCCAGCGAACTTGGTAGCCAATGATTTCGTTACACATGACACATTTTGGCAAGAAAAGTTGACTGCCACGTGTCCAAGTTCACTACGATTGGTAGCGAACTTGGTAGCCAATAATTTCATGACATGTGGCACACTTTTGCAGGAAAAGCTGACTGGACGAAGTTCGCTACAAGGGGTAGTGAACTTGGTGTGCTAGGTTGCACAATCTCATTGCCCGATCAAAATTAATGTTCCAATCACAATAAAAAAACAAAAAATGACAATAAATTGTAATTAATGTATTAATCACAATTAATGTATCAATCACCAATCACAATTAATATATCAATCACCATTCACAATTAATTTTGATCACAATTAATGTACCAATCACAATTAATGTATCAATCGCAATTAATTTTGATCGGTACATTAATTGTTTGTGATATCATTGTTACAAATTCGTACGATGTTTGTGAGAGATAAAATATGTCAAATGATGTATCATTGGGTAGATCTTAGAAAGTTATATGAATTAAAATAAAAAAATATCTGATTTGGATATCCGAATCAAAAGTTATGGCCCTCCGAAGTGATTGGTACATTAATTGTGATTGGTACAATCAAAAGTTAATCCTATTTGTACGCTAATTGTGATTGAGACATTAATTGTGATTGCTAATTGACACATTAATTTTGATTGGCACATTAATTAAACTGTCGTTTTCCTTCATTTTCTGTGTTTTATTGTGATCGATACATTAATTCTGATTGTGCCACGTTGCACCTAGTTCGCTTAGACTTTCAGCGAACTTGGTGCATGTTAGACACGTGGCACACCTACTTCGCTGCATGTGGCAGCGAACTTCTCCAATGTGTCAGCGAACTTCTCAAATGTGTCAGCATTTGTTGCAATATAGTTCGCTACTGAGAGTAGCGAATTTGTTGTCCACCAGAAACGTGCCACGTCAGCAAATCAAGTTCGCTGGGCACTGTAGCAAACTTGCCCACGTGACATATTGAGAAATAACACTATTCACATGATATTTAGATAAAAAAAATCAGTGAACATTGACATTTTCATAAGTGTCGCTATTCTAGATTCGAGGGTAGGTATAGCATCGATTTTGCATTTCTGAACTTGCCGTCTAAGTGAAAGTTGTTGCCATCATTAAAGGCAGCAGAGGAAGGAAATGGCATTGCAGATATATGGATCAGATATTATTGCCAGTATTTATTGTTTGTTGCAATCACGAATGACTTCAAACTAAATTTGAGTTATTTTTATCAAAAAAATTATATTTATATTTTTTTTACAATCTCTTATAAATTACCGTATATATTAAGAATAATATATTTCAACACACAATATACTACACCTAATATATAGTTTAATTTGTAAGAATTTATAAAAAAAAAAATTTGTAAATATAATTTTCTCTAATTTTATTATTTACGGGTCATTGAATTTTATTGAATTTGACTAAAAGAATAATTAAGTTCATCGGTTAAACTAATAAATGGTTGGATCAATTAATTTATAATTGGGTACTTATCTATGTATTATCTATACTTATTATATATAAAATTCTCTAATTTGGTGTCTAATTTTTTTTTCTAAAATTATATTTATTATATATTTATAATATAAAATTTAAAAGGATGAAATTGTAAATACATTGATAAATTTAAAGATGAACATCAAAAAGACATATTTAAAAAATTTGGAACTCACTAAATACAGTTATTTTGGAATAATATCAACCTATGTAAATATCTCTAAATGTTTTTCAACCTTGTATTGCGTAATTTTCAGAAGAGTTGAATTAAAAAAAACAAAATCTTTTCTTCACAAATTAAGTAACATTTTTTAATATATTACATGAATTAAATTTAACTCAATAAAATATGGATTATATTACTCTTATATTGTACGAGAGTAATGTAACTTTCTTTAGACCCATTGATTTTTGTGCCTTTTTTATTTGATTTTTTTAATAAATAATGGGGACTGATGCATTTACAGTTGACCCATGGCACATGACTCAACTATTGACTCAAGAAGCTCAGAGTCAACCAGGGTTGTGATCCAATAAGTATGACCCAATTGCTGAAAGAAGCAGTGATTTAAAATATAATAAATTATTTACAAAAAAATTAAATAAAATATAATAAATTACGATTAAATCTAAGTCCCAATAAAACAGCAAATATGATTTTGATTTATTTGGCAAGAAAAGAAAAGCAACAAATTTGGCGTGATTTGATATATAAGATTTGAGACGTATTTTGAATGATTTAATTGAAATTATTTATTTATTTTTAGAAGCTAATTACTGATTTTAGGTAGTTTTCTTATTTTTAGGATTTTAGATTTTGAATTTTGAATTGATTTGTAATTAGCCTATAAAAGGATGCTTATGACCCTTATTGTAGGAAATCAGTGATTTAAAATATAATAAATTACGATTAAATCTAAGTCCCAATAAAACAGCAAATATAATTTTGATTTATTTGGCAAGAAAAGGAAAGCAATAAATTTGGCGTGATTTGATATATAAGATTTGGGACGTATTTTGAATGATTTAATTGAAATTATTTATTTATTTTTAGAAGCTAATTACTGTTATATTTATTTTAGGTAGTTTTCTTATTTTTAGGATTTTAGATTTTGAATTTTGAATTGATTTGTAATTAGCCTACAAAAGGATGCTTATGACCCTTATTGTAGGAAAGCAGTGATTTAAAATATAATAAATTACGATTAAATCTAAGTCCCAATAAAACAACAAATATGATTTTGATTTATTTGGCAAGAAAAGGAAAGCAACAAATTTGGCGTGATTTGATATATAAGATTTGGGGACATATTTTGAATGATTTAATTGAAATTATTTATTTATTTTTAGAAGCTAATTACTGTTATATTTATTTTAGGAAGTTTTCTTATTTTTAGGATTTTAAATTTTGAATTTTGAATTGATTTGTAATTAGCTCATAAAAGGATGCTTATGACCCTTATTGTATGAGTTGAATTTTGTTATTTTGATAATTATAACTGAGAACCAAAGAGTTACTTTTTTTTTTGTAAAATTCTAACTTTCTGTTTAACCATCTTTTCTATGCGTTTTCGACATCAAGGACCATCATATAATTATATCTACAACATATTTCATATTACACAAGAATAATATAATCCATAAAATATACACAATTACATAAGTAGTTGAATAAAATTTCAAATATCGTTTAACAAAATTCAAATTAAATAAAAACAAGTTTGTGGTTAACAGGCAAGAATTTTTTGAAAGTACTTTAAAAAATTTCTCCATAAAAGAGGTAGGCCTAGTTTTGTAATTTGACAAACATCCAACCCATTTTAATTACTGAACAAAAACTATCAGCATCATTTGCTCCCATTCATGCACTCATTTTTTTTATATATATAATATTTATAATTTGTTTTATTTTATTATATTATATTTCTGGTAGAGCCATTTTGTAATAAATATATATTCGTGGCTTAAAATAATGTTGTTTGAGGTATGAGATCCAGACAATTTTCTGAATGTTGCAGTACTGAGTTGCCACCTCTCACTTGACCCGAAAGATTTGAATTTCTTGACAGAGAAACACCATCACCAACTGCCACGACAAATACTACTAATTCAAATTCAAATTCATCTTATTTGTCTTGAGGTGCGTAGAAACGAATAATAAACCATTTTTTTTTTTTTTTTTTGATTTCACAACAGAAAAACAGAACACTGCAACAACAACAATAACAGGATTTTTCACAAATTGTTGTTGTTTTCGTTATCCCTTGTCTCTCTCCCTCTTTTCTCTGAGTCAAATGAGATTTGTTTCTCTCGTAAACACATCACATAACAACACAACACAACACCCTTACCGAAACATTCTTCCTTTTCTTTTTCACTCTTCAAACCTCGTAACTCACGCTTTCAGTAATGGAAACTTGTGATACACCTCTTCGATTTGTGAAATGAAATTGATTCATTGAACGTGGGAAACGAATTTTCAAACCCATCCTTCAAGCTATCACCGCTTCCAAAACTCTGTTTATTTATTTATTTAACATTATATTTTTATCTGCTGTACCAGTTTTTTTTTTGGTGGGGTTAACCAGTGTTTCCGACCTCAAATCTCAAAAGGGTGTCTTCAATTTCGCGGCTTTTGGAAATGCAGTGGTGGAACTCGAAGTGGGGGTGGTGAATTCTGAATTGGGCACGTGAATTTGAGGGAAAAGTTCTGAGATTTCTGTGTTTTTTTTTTTTTTTTGACATTGTTGGGGTGGAGGAACCAACAATATGATGCTATCAGCTTCGCCATGTTCGTTGGTGAGGAGCTCGCTGGAGGAGATGCTTGATTCGCTTCGCATGAGGGATGAAGAAGAAGAGAAGAAAAAGGACTTGCCGCCGGCATTGCCAGTTCGGCCGGCATCCCGGGCCCGGCTTCCTCCGGCGAGGCGGTCGTTGCCGAATAACTTCAAGGTTGGCGGCGGCGACCGCGTCTCGGTGGAGAGTGGATTTGATGCCAAGGAAGAGAATAAGAGGAAGGAAAATGTTGAGGGACTCACGAGAACAAGAAGTAGTTTTGGGATCAAGAGGATGAGGAAGGATTTGGAATCCCCTTACATGGCCACATCAGAAGAGAACTTGCCTCTTTCAGCATCTACAGCTTCTGTAGCTTCCTCAGAAATGATGTGGGAATTGGAGGGTGACAGCATTTCTTATTTCATCAGAAAGGTAACTTGGAACTTGAGAAATTAAAGGTTATGAGTTATGACTTATGACATTTTAGTTATATGATGTTGCATTAACTCTGATGATGGATGAAGTTTTAACAGTGGTTCTTAGTTTTTGGTTAACTGCTTCTTGTTCGCAGGATCCTTTCTATTGGTTGGTTAGTTTAGAAGGCTATTTGATTAAATATATCAAATTTTCTTTTAGAATTTATCTTAGAAGCTATTATTTTTGTTTGTGGAGTTATGTATGAGCATCATGCTTGTTCTTTTGTCTATTCATAATTGGGATAGACTGAGACATTGTTCATGGCATGTGCTTTTCTGTTAAATTCACTTTCGGTTTTTGGTTGTTTTCCCCAGAAGCTTCGTGTTTGGAGTAGGCAACCAAGAGGGAAGTGGGAACTAGGAAGGATACAATCAACTTCTGGAGAGGAAGCATCTGTTTCACTCTCAAATGGAAATGTAAGTTTCTTTGCTTTTTGTGTTTTTGAAAGATAGTGTGTAGTCTTGAGTATGCAAGGTGACAGGTTATTCATGCTGTTGAATTTTTCTTTCAGGTTATGAAGGTGGCCAGATCAGAGCTCCTACCAGCTAATCCTGATGTTTTGGAGGGTGTGGATGATCTAATTAAGCTCAGTTATTTGAATGAGCCATCGGTTCTTCACAATCTGAAGTTTAGATATTCTCAGGAGATGATTTATGTATGTATGCCTGCTCTGGCTTTTTCTTTTACTTAGGTGATTATCTATATGCTCTGATATAATGCTTGTGCTTTCCTTGTGTAGAGTAAAGCAGGGCCCATTTTAATTGCACTCAATCCGTTCAAAGATCTCCAGATTTATGGAAATGATTATGTCTCAGCTTATAGGCAGAGATTTATTGATAGTCCTCATGTTTATGCTATGGCAGATGCGGCTTATAACAAGATGATAAGAGGTGAATGAAGTTCTCCCTTTCTCTCTCCTCCTTGAAAATATTTATGCTGTACTTGAATGACATGTTTAAAAAGGCTTCCTGTTTGCTTTTGTGTATTGCAGATGAAGAAAATCAGTCCATTATTATAAGGTCAGCACCTTAGTCCATTCAAGGCTCTATTTTGTGCATGACACGTAATATATGTTCTTGAATTCAATAGTATTGAATTGTCATAGTAGTAATAAGATATAATCTCAAGGGTACTTGTTAATAATCAATGTTAGAATTTTGTTTGCAGTGGTGAGAGTGGATCTGGGAAGACAGAGACAGCAAAAATTGCTATGCAATACTTAGCTGCTCTTGGTGGTGGAAGTTGTGGGATAGAAAATGAAGTTCTTCAGACAAATTGTATACTGGAAGCTTTTGGGAATGCAAAAACATCTACGAATCATAGCTCTAGCAGATTTGTGAGTTTAGTTTTCTTTTTTACTTCCTTTAGTATAATGGAGCTTGCTCCTGCTTTTGTTTTATTAAGATTTCTATAGCTTGAAAGGTTTTCTATCAAGTGTGTCCATAATATTTTGAAATTTTAATCTTCCTTTTATTTGTTGAACTCTATGCTGCACTTTTGAATAATATTTAAAGGCTGACCAGCTTAATTCATATACATTTTTGATTTGGTACAGGGAAAGTTGATTGAAATTCATTTCAGCGCCTTGGGCAAAATATGTGGTGCTAAAATTCAATCCTGTAAGCTTGTTCAAGCTATATATGTTACTGCAAATGTTTTTGTTTGTGATATCCATTTCTATTGCAATTACTGAGTTGACTTATTTTTATGGCTTTGTGGATGTCATATGCCAACCCATATGCTAACTCGAACAGTTCTATTGGAAAAGGTAATTTGTGATGCTCTATTTGAACTAAGTGTGGATCTGTAATGCTTGTCTTTTGTCACTTCTGAACTAATCATGTCTACTTTGAGCAGTCAAGAGTTGCTCAACTGGCCAGTGGTGAGAGGTCGTATCACATATTTTATCAACTTTGTGCTGGATCTTCATCTGATCTTAAAGGTGTGTTTTCAAAGAAATCTATCACCTTGTTTGTACACTTACATACTTTTAGTCACCATATCATTTTCATATGACATATCTGTTTCTATGTTTGGGTTATTCACAATGTTTTGAAATGGCAATGATCATGCTGTTAACTTCAATAGCAAAGTAGCCCATTCTTTTTGTTCATTCTGAAAGAATTCAAGTTTTTTGATGCTCAAAAAGTTCTCAAATTGTGGTATCTGGATTTTTTTGGGCTTTTACTTACCCTTATGTTACACCATCGTGACAATTGGCACGTCTATATGATAAATATGACCTGTCATTATTCTGTTTAGATACAACAGAATCCAAATAAAATCAAATCACTCTCCATTGAACCCCAACTAGCGAAGGTAGTGGTGAGGACAATCCTTGTACGCATTCTTACCCTTGTACATTTGCAGAGAGGTTGTTTCTTAGATACAACAGAATTATTCTCTAAAAAATATTAACTGTTGAAAATGAGTCACAGTTCAATCTTTTGACTAATATATCACTGTTTTGGGACAACTAAATTGCTCAATTACCATCCCTGAGACCATCTATTTTAATTTTTGGAGTTTTGGAGTTTGATCCTCCCAGTATGATCAGTAAACCTCCTCTGCCTTTTTAATTTTGTATACTCAATTTAAATGGACATTTAATTTTAATACAAGTTAATCAGCATCAATTTCAGCATGTAAAGTTATTTTATTTTTGCAGTGTGGTTTCTTGATCACAATTGAATTTGTAAATATTTTGACTCATACAGAATCATTTTCTTTTCCTCTGCAGAGAGACTGAACCTTAGAACAACCAGTGAATATAAATATCTAAATCAGAGCGGCTGCCTGACAATTGATGGGGTTGACGATGCTAAAAATTTTCAACAGCTGACGGTATCTTACTTGACCGTGTTTGGTTTAAGATAAACTCTTTAACTTTGATTATGGCCTCCTAAGATCTCATTTGGCATCTGCATTTTCCTCAGAAAGCATTGGATACTGTTCGAATTTGCAAAGAGGATCAAGAGCTGATCTTTAAGATGCTTGCTGCAATACTATGGCTGGGAAATATATCATTCCAAGTCACTGACTGTGAAAATCACATTGAGGTTGTAGATGATGAAGGTAAGATTCATATCTTATGTAGCATGCCTTTTGATGGACTACTTGCACCCCGTGCTGTTTTGTATCTACTAATTCGGTGTCCTTGAATTCTTAAAGCAAACTGGGACTCACTTGGATTCTTTGCAATGCCATATACTGTACAGAACCAAATTATATTTTATTTTGTATTGTGTAGGAATGACTTTGAAGTGGTTCTGTTTGATTGTGACTAAAATATGAACTTAAGAGGGTATATATGAAATTTCAGTTACAATTTAAGAGTAAATTTAATTATCTAATTCTTTTTGCAGCTGTAACCAGTGCTTCGCAGCTGATGGGTTGCAGTTCCCAGGAACTATTGGCAGCATTAACTACCCATAAAATCCAATCTGACAAGGATATTATTGCCAAAAGGTTGACATTGAGGCAGGTGTGTTCCTTACTTAAATATTTCAATTGTTCTATTCTTTTTATGGCTCCTAAATACTCTATACTCAGAACATATATATTTTTTCACATTTCATGTTCAGGCGATTGATACAAGAGATGCAATTGCAAAAGTTATCTATGTATGCTTGTTTGACTGGCTTGTAGAACAAGTTAACAAGTCACTTGAAGTGGGTAAAAAATGTATTGGGAAATCTATAAGTATCCTTGATATATATGGGTTTGAGTCATTCCAGGTGCGCAATTTGTATTAATGAGTTTATTTATGATTAAAAGAATGTTCCATAAGTTCTAATAGCTTCTTGTTTCTCTTTTTTCAGAAAAACAGCTTTGAGCAGTTTTGTATAAATTATGCCAATGAGAGGCTTCAACAACATTTTATTCGGCATCTGTTTAAACTTGAGCAGGAGGTCAGTAACTCTGTTAAGTGTTAAGTGTTAATATTGCAAGGTAATTTGATGCCAATCCTCTTTAACCTTAAAGAAATTGGGTGATACAATTACATGAATTTGTTTCTGTGCATTTTTGTCTTAAAAATGCTGTAGTGTGAATTCCAAGAATTAAGAAATTTGTTTCTTTGCATTTAAAGTTTTAATACTTCTTTTATCCTTTGGGAAAGAGCAGATTTGGTTAAGAATTCAAAAATTATTGCCAAATACTAATGAAAAGAGATCATGTTTTGAACATTGTAATGAATGTAATGCCATAGTTAAGCATGTTGGCTTCTGTAGTTAAATACATTCATGGTGATTAAATGGTGGTATGCTACGTAAAAAATAAAGTTTGATCAAGGACGCGTTCTCAATATGGTATCTTCAATAATACTGTGAGAAAATAATACTGTGAGAAAATAATACTGTGAGAACAGGTACTCTTTTTGCTCATGCATAAGGTTAATATTACATGCTAAGCATGAGTTTTTCAATCGGCTTGATATGCATAACAGCAATATCACAATTTACATTTTTTTGTCAGGATTATGAATCAGATGGCATAGATTGGACTAAAGTAGATTTTGATGACAATCAAGAATGCTTGGATCTATTTGAGAAGGTACTTTATATGGTTTAATTTCTCAAATGTTGAGTTATTCCACTTTCCCTGCAAATAGAGATGTTTGATGGTTGTAGTTTCATTCATTTCCAGACACTGCTTTTCCTTAAACCAGATTATTATTATTATTTTCTTTTTTGAAAAAATTGTGTTCAGGGCCTAATGTTCGCTGTGTTCATATTATTGTCTGATTTGTATGGCCATCAAGTTATCTGTTGTCAAATATGCAGAATCCTCATGGTCTACTCTCTTTGTTGGATGTGGAATCTAATTTTCCCAAGGCTTCTGACTTAACATTTGCCAACAAAATTAAGAATCACCTGAACGCTAATCCTTGTTTCAAAGGGGAAAGTGGCAGAGCTTTCAGTGTTCGTCACTATGCAGGGGAGGTTAGTTTCTGCTCAGTATTTAAGGAGCGCTGGAAATTAATTGCAACAAAATCTACTTCATTTTAATTTTTAAATTTGAATTAATCATTCAGTTTAATTTGTTTAAAATTTGCATTCTTTTCGACAGTATTGCATGTAGAGGACTAGAATATAATGTGTAAACATGCTTGATACTAATATAGATAAGGCAGTAGAAATCACAGTACAAAGATCTGTTTTAATGGTTTGTCTCATGTTATCTGGAATATAATCTTATGCAGAATGTGATTTGCAGAAGGCCTGGTTTCTGAATATGATAATTTAGTTGTTCTAGAACATAATGGTGTTGTCCTCTCTTTCTAGTTCCTAGTTCCTACTTTATTTAAGAAGAGTTAGTTTTCAGTTTCTTTCTTTGCCTGCAATATAATAACATATAACACTAAATGTTGGGTCCTATAAACATTTTGAGACAAATGTCATTCAGATGTTAAGCATGCAATCATGCATCTGGCAAATGATTTATAGCTGGTGCCCTTATTGTTAAGTTGCTATTTCTAATTTTTTGTCTCTGAGCCTTTAGGGTTATACCATATATGTAATGTGCACCATGGAAGTGAATTTTGTTTTTTGTGATTTTACTAACATCTGGACCTTTTTAGGTTTTGTATGATACAAATGGCTTTCTAGAAAAGAACAGAGACGCGCTGTTTTCTGATTCCATTCAACTCCTATCATCATGTAATTGTGAACTGCTGCAGTTGTTCTCCAAAATGTTTAACCAGTCTCCGAAGCTATCAAATTCCCTCCACATTGGCACACTGGACTCACAGAAGCAGGGTGTTGGAACAAAGTTCAAGGTAATCTTGTAGCATTTCTTGATCTGCTTTAGCTTCATTAAGATTTGGAAAGAAATGATTGTCATGGCTTGTTACATAAGATTAGGACATGATGATGGACAAAAAACTCTATTCTGAAAATTACATTATTTAATAACATAGTATTGGAATTTTAGGAGTTTACTGAAAAATAATTGAAATTCCATAAATTGAGGGAAATAAATCTAACTAGTTTCATAATTTTAGGGTCAATTATTCAAGTTGATGCATCAGTTGGAGAGCACCACACCTCACTTTATTCGCTGCATAAAGCCAAATACTAAGCAGCTTCCTGGCATTTATGATGAAGACCTTGTCCTACAACAGCTAAGGTGTTGTGGAATTCTAGAAGTTGTTAGAATTTCAAGGGCTGGATATCCTACTCGAATGACTCATCAAAAGTTTGCTAGAAGGTAGTGGAGAAACCTCTCATGGTTTTTAGATCATCTTGAATGATGGATTGATTTCAGTTCCTTAATGTATCTAGGTATGGGTTTCTGCTTTCTGAGGCCAATGTACCTCAAGATCCATTGAGCATCTCAGTTGCTGTTATGCAAAAATTTAATATCCCTTCTGAAATGTACCAAGTTGGCTACACCAAACTATATCTTCGAGTGGGGCAGGTATATGTCTAAGTTTTCTTTGCAGGGCTGGAATTCCTACTTTCTACTTTCTTTTTGTTTTTTCCCACCTTAATCATATAGTTTGGATTTAACCTGTCCATAGTTCGGCATTGGAGACATATTTCATGCTTTCATTTCTCAAAATTGCATTTTAAAAAGCCTTATGCGTATACTACATATTGAGTTAAAAGTCAAAGATCTGGGTCATAATTGGCTTGGCTTGTCATACCAGTTGATGTGCCATTGAAAGTTTATCAACTATTTGTCCTATTAAATGAGTATTTTGTCTTTGAACCATGGATTTTTTTGCATGGCTGAATATTAAATTATATAGTCTTATTTTAGCTTGAGTTTACATTCGTTCATATTGTGGTTTCTCTGATTGTTATTCTTATGCTCTGGTTGGTTTTGTAGATTGGTGCACTGGAGGACAAGAGAAAACAGGTTTTGCTGGGAATACTTAGGATTCAAAAATGCTTCCGTGGTCATCAAGCTCGCAGTTACTTCAGTGAACTTAAGAATGAAGTGGCAACATTACAATCATGTACTGCCAGTATCAATAGTAGTTTAATTTGGAGCAAAACCATCTACTGCTTGTAGGCATTATGCATATTTTTCTTCATTTTGATGAAGACTTGTCAAGTAAATATTTTCTTGAAAACATAATTGATAAGAAACCTCTGTGCAGTTTGGTTTCTACTTTTAAACTATAATTTGAAGACCTTATCTATGCTCATTCAATCAAGAACGTATGCCTAAACTGATGACTCAAATTATAGAACTCTTGTTACAAGTGATTGTTAATAATTTGGGTTCTAGTTTATTTCTTAATTGCGTATTTGGTTGCATTGCAGTTATTCGTGGAGAAATTACGAGAAGGAAATATGGTGTTATGATGAAGTCTTCTATAACCATTTATTCTAAAAAACTTGAGGAGATCCATGCAATCATACTACTGCAATCTGGTTGGCATAGTTTTATTTTCTGTCGAGTTTACCCTTAGGATGAGTTGAATTTGATTTGCTTATCCGTTTCCTTTACATGCAGTAATTCGTGGCTGGCTGGATCGAAGATATGCTAGTCACATGAATAAGTTAAAGAAATATCCTGAAAATGCAAAACCTAGGCGAAAGTCACTTGTGAAGATGCCAGAATTGAAGGTATTTTACAACGCATTTAACTCCAGTCTTATTTTTTGTGTTATAACTTACATAACTCCATCTATTTGGTTATTTTTTCAGTTGTTGTATTACACTAGAAACTTTTTGCCCTGTTTTTATTTTTTCTCTGACTAAAACTTGTAGCAATTTTGACTTCCGTTCAATACAGTGTCTAAGGACAAGGTGTGTGTTTAAGATTCCCTTGTTTGGTACGACAATTAAAAAAGGCAAACCTCGGTGCACAAGGCTTCTCTACTTTGCAAGGGTAGGGGGGAGGGCCAATTGAATGCAATCTTACCCTTGCATTTTGTTTCCCAAACTCGAAGTCGTGATCTTCTAGTCACAAAGGAGCAATCTTATTATTGCTCCAAGGCTTGCTCGAGCCTTCTTGGAATGACAATTGAAAATTGTTCAAATTAGCAAGAACATATGCTATCCATATTTGGTAGCACATAATTTCTTAGATTTTATGGAATAGAGTAATTGATCAAAGAGAGTAAGCGCATGAGCCATACTCTAAAAACTATGGGAGAGTAATTGATTGGAGATAAAGACAAGAAACTCACTTTTCAAAGACCAATTTGGCTTTATGCCTGGCTGTTCAACCATGAATCGATATAACTTTTGAAGGTTTGATGGAGAGGTATCAGAGGAGACGAAAAGATATGGATGTAGTTTTCATTGATAAAACCTACAATAGGGAGTCATGCGGTGCTGGAGAAGAAGGGAGTTCATATTGCTTATGTTCAAGCCATAAAGGATATGCATGGGTTTTAACTTTTATGAAACGTGATGGGGCCATGAAGGATTTCCCTACAACTATAGGTTTACACCAGAGTTCAACCTTGAGCCCTTATCTTTTTGCCTTGGTTTTGGATTTGGACATTCTTACTCAACTTATACAAGAGCCAGTGCCTCAATGTATGCTTTTTGCTTATGATGTTGTTCTTGTGGGAGATATTGAGTTATGGAGGGGAAGCTTTGTAATCACATGGATTTCGTTTAAGCAAAAGTAAAATGGAATATATGAAAATTTTCTTAGTCACACAGTTTAGGTATCTTGGATCTATCATACAAAACGAGGGAGATGTAAATCATAGGGTTGAAGCTGGGTGGATTCAATTTAGCTGATATATTTAAGCATACAAATAGAAATATACTTTTAAAAGTACAAGTCCCTTTGAGCAAACTAGAAAAAGTTATTATTCAATTGGCACTTATAAAATTTGTCCTAGATTAAAAACAAATTGTGTTGCTTCCAGCTTTTACTAGTCATCTGCCAGATATAAAAAAAGATTTCCGTTGTCTTCATTTTTGTGGTAATTGTACTAAGTACTAACCACTGTAAGCTTCTAGCTTAATGGTACCTAGGACTAGTTTGCATGGAGGTGTGATTGAAAACTTAAATCTGTTTTCTCTTTTATTGCAACTTCTGCATTAGAATTTAATGCACATGTCTTTCTTATTTACCTTTTGAGCGAATTTTCTTCCATGGATGTACAGTATTTTTCTTCATAATTTTTTTAAAGCTCCCATCCACTCACGGTGACGGTTCCCCCCACCTATTTTTTGTTTAGCAGGTTTTGTCCAAAGAGTCAACTCAGAATCTGCCTTCAGCTTTAGCAGAATTCCAAAGGCGGCTTGACAAGGCTAAAGCAATTGTGGAGCAAAAGGAAGAGGAAAATAGTGAATTGAGGGAAAAACTAAAACAATCTGAGAGAAAGAGGGTTGAGTATGAGGCAAAGATGAAATCAATGGAGGAGGCATGGCAAAAACAGGTCGCATCTTTGCAAGTAAGTTTTCGGTTCAGACAAGTCCTCAATTTTTGACATAATCATGAATGTTATTAGGGGTGTGCATGGTTCGGTTTTTCATAACGAATCTAACCGGTTTTAAAAAGTTTAGTTTGGTTCATGATTAAGCTTGGTTCATTTGGTTTTTTTCACACTCCTAAGAGTGGGCATGGTTTGGTTTGGTTTGGTTCTTAGTCCGAACCTGTAAAGAACCTTGGGATACACCACCCCAAAAGCTAGCTCAAAGGGTGGGAGTGCCCAAGACCATATAAACTCCACATTAGTTGCACATACAACCAATGTGAGACTATATATCTCAACACGCCCCCTCACACGAGAGCCCATTGGGCTTGAAGAGTGGACAATGCAACAGGCCCACCCTACCTGTGCTAAGAAATGCCACAAGAGAAAATGGGGGGCGGCGATGCTCTGATACCAACTTAAATGTAAAAGAATACGTTGTGTATTGATCTGTGTCAGGGAGTTACAATATATAGAGACCCTAATGGGCTTAAGTGTAAGGCCCAAACCTAATCCTAATATAGTCAGTATACAGTCAGACTATTTACGGATAAGACAGAATCCAATCATATCTAATCATATCTAATCATATCATATTATCCCAAGGTTCTTTACATGGTATCAGAGCCTCGCCGCCCTCCACTTTCTCTTGTGGCGTTTCTTAGCACAGGTAAGTTGGGCCTGTTGCATTGTCCACTCTTCAAGCCCAATGGGCTCTCGTGTGAGGGGGGGTGTTGAGATATATAGTCCCACATTGGTTGTATTATGTGCAACTAACGTGGAGTTTATAAGGTCTTGGACACTCCCACCCTTTGAGCTAGCTTTTGGGGTGGTGTATCCCAAGGTTCTTTACAGAACCGATTAAAAAATGGTTTGGTTCTTGAACCGGTTTGAAGAAAATGATTTGGTTTTTGAACCAGCTTAGAAAATGTGGTTCTTTTGATGCGGTTTGAATCAATTCACAGTTCAGTTTGGTTCATTTGTTTTTTCTTTGCATGCCCCTAAATGTTACTGTAATGGATGCAGTTGATTGATCTGATCAAACCAATCTTTTAACAAGTTTATTTACCTGTAGTCTACTTGAACAAGTTCGTGCTATTCCCTGCACTCAATAACCAGCAAAAGATTTATCAAAGAAAAAAAAAAAAAACTTTGATCACTTGTGTCAATTTTCTTAAAGAAGAATTAGCAGGAATTGTTATAACAGGCTAGTTTGATATCGAGTTGGATTTAGCTTTGAATTTGTCATTGCTAATAAGAGAAAACTGTTGCTGAGAAATTAATGTGCTTCTTGATTCTCTGATCTACCATGAGCTTGTTGCACTTTTTTACTAGACAAACCCGATGTACAAGGGTTTTAAATCTAAGTTAAAAGTCTAGAGAAGATTTTAATTGCAATTTCAATGCAGGTGAGTCTTGTTGCTGCTAAAAAGAGCCTTGCTTCTGAGGATACAGCTATTCAACCTGTAATGCCTGTAATGCGTGATCTACTGTCGCGTGAACTGGTGTCACCTCGGTACTACGATTCTGAAGATGCTACTTCTATGGGATCTCGAACTCCCGGTGGGAGCACACCTTTAAAGATTTCTGGTAGTCTCTCTGTCTCTTATGCAGGGAGACAGTCTAACGGTGCTTTGACTACAGTCAGCAATCTGATGAAGGAATTTGAGCAGCGAAGACTGAACTTTGATGATGAAGTAAAAGCTCTGAATGAGGTTAAACCAGGGCAGTCTGCGAACGTGAATTACGTTGAAGAAATTCGGAATCTTAAACATAGATTTGAGGGATGGAAGAAACAATACAAGGTTAGATTACGTGAGACAAAAGCAAAGCTTCAAAAATTAGGGAATTCAGAAATGGAAAAAAGTCGGAGGACATGGTGGGGGAAATTAAGAGCATAATAGCATTCAGTTTTCAAGCACACTCTCTTTGCTGAAGTATAGAAATGCTGAAAGATTCAGCAAAAAAGGCTTAATGATTGTTTGTTATAAATTCTGTCCTTTTGAGGAGTTGCTTCTTCTGTATCTTGCTGGGGAAAATATTTTCGGTACTCTTGTCCTACTGAGTACTCCGTACATCATTTATTAAATATGACAAAAAGTAATACTTTTACTCTACCCTCACCTTTATAGTTATTTCCACCTATATCCTTTATTTTTCCTTTTTTGGCAAAGATGTATGTACTCCCGAATCAGCTCCTTGCTGGGACAGTTGATAAAATTGTTACCATTGTACTAGTTGGTGAAGGGAAACATTGTTACATGATGGAAGTGTTATAGGCTGTGCATAGTTGTAGTAGGCTCGCTTAATTGTATTGATTACTCTAGTTTGCTTGTGTATATTCTTTTTACTTCTTTTTTTCTTTTTTTGTGAAATAAAAGTAATTCCTCGTGTATATTCTGTTGTTGCTGATGTGATCTAAATCTAAGCCTAGAAGACATTTATTATAGTTAAGTGCGATCTTTTTTTTTTAAGCTAGAAGCTACTTATAAGCATAAGATAGGCCAAACAGGTTTTGAAAAAAGCTCTTATAATGAAAAGCTTTTTTTTATAATGAAGAAAAAAGTTGAAAATTAAAAGCTCCTAGGAGGAGCTTTTTTTAAGCTCTTATCTGTTTTCTTTGAATTGTGTGTTTTTTTTTTAAAATAAAGAGTTATAAAGATAAAGAAAGATAAATTTCTTGAAATATGTGTTTTTAATTAACTTTTAAGTTAAAACTTTTATGTGATTACCAAACAGCTTTTAGTTTCTTTTTTTAAACTCTTTTTTTTTAGCTTTAACTTATAAGTAGCTTCTAGCTTAAAAAGAAGAGGATCCAAACAGACATAAGTGTTGGTATCTTTTGTGTAAGGGAATTTTTTTTTTCTGTTTTGCTATATTCATGACTACAGTTCTCTCAGTGTATTGTTTAAACATAAACGTTCGTTATAGAGCTATATATTTTCTCATACATGAATATTGGTCTTGGAATAACCTTCATATTTCTGCAAAAATGGATGTTAGCATCACTAATTTACTATGCATGCCATTATGTTTACTGTCTCTGTTATAGTCTGTTAGTTTGGATTTTCTTATGTCAAAATTTCACACGTGTGAAAATTAATTTAATGTCCATTTTTCTCTTCATTGTCGTTAGGTGCAATTTTTCTCTTAATGCTAGAATACAACATTAAAGTGGCCATTTGGTTCATTACATCTTTGCGGCCCCACATTACGTTTCTTTCTGTGGAACATTGCTTCCTTTATTTAATATTCATATGCCTTCTTATTTGTTTGTACAAACAGATTAACGTGGGATCTCCCTGGTTTAAAATGAACATAAAAAAGTACACTAAACTGATAAATATTATGATAATAATAATCTACAAAGAAATTTCCATGTCATGCCATTCATACAAAAAAACAAGCATACATAGGGAAATCATTTTTTAAGAACCGGGCACAAACTTGGTGGCATAGACCCAAGCATTATTAGCCACAGGGTTATCAAGGTGATCCAAAAGGTTCTCAAGTGGTCCTTTTCCAGTGACAATGGCTTGAACAAAGAAACCAAACATGGAGAACATAGCCAACCTTCCATTCTTGATCTCCTTAACCTTGAGCTCAGCAAAAGTGACAGGGTCATCAGCAAGACCAAGAGGGTCAAAGTATTGACCACCAGGGTAGAGGTCATTACCCTCTCCTACACCAGGAAGGCCATTGATTCTGAATCCTTCAACAAGACCCATCAGAACAACTTGGAATCCTAGCACTGCTAGAATGCTTTGTGCATGAACAAGGTTTGGGTTCCCCAAATAGTCAAGGCCACCTTCTGAGAATATCTGAGCTCCAGCTTTGAACCAAACTGGTTCTTTGAAGTCCACTCTAACCCACTTTTCAAGCACTTCAGGGGTTATGCACCCTAGTGCTCCAAGCATAGCCCAACGTCCATGAATCACCTTTTTTCATATATATAACCAATTTAGTACATATATCTCACTATATAGATTGCATAAATGAAAAAAAAAAATTATTTGTCCTTTATTGGTTTTGTTTTAAAACAAATGAAACAAGCCCACAAAGAAAGAGGATTCTTACTGCAAAAGAGCAATTGAAGTTCAGGCTTTCTAGTGATTTTTCTAGCACAGGCTTGTATTAAGACTATTTTTGCTTACAAGTAAAATCAAATACAACTTTCTGTATTGTGTCAGCAGAGGCAAATATATGTTTTTATGATAAAGAAGCTAGATGAAAGATTCTTTGTGCATACAAGAAACCTCATGCAATACCAATGAACTTTTTCACCTTGATCAGATATCTCGAGTTTTGAGTCGTGATAATAGAAAAAAATTGATATTGGAGAGCCACTCCAATATGAATACAACATTGCTAGAACCAGATTAAACTGGTTTGCATATCAGAAAAAGAAACCTTATGCAATTTGGCCTTTTGAATAATTGAAATCTTTGGTGTTGAAAAAAGAAAAGAAAAGGAATTTAAGCATAAAAAACTGACCTCAAGAGCTCTATTCTTGGCAAATGCTTCAGGGTCAGCAGACAAACCAGCAGTGTCCCATCCATAATCACCTGGGAATTCTCCAGTTAAGTATGAAGGGGTTTGAGCTGAAAAGGGTCCCAAGTATTTCACTCTGTCTGGTCCATACCACAACTCATTTCCCTGCAAATGCATGAACACAAACCCTTTACATAAGCCACACAACACAACCATAAAAAAACTTGAGGTAAAGAATTGAGAAAAACTTGTGAAAGTACCATGGTGTATTTCCCAGCTCCCAAACAGACAACATCTCTAAGAGGGTTGGCATTGGTTCCCCTACTTTGACCAAGGAAAGGGGTTGTTTTAAGAACAGTGCCAGTGCTTGCTGTGGCTGCCATTAATGTTGATGCCATGGCTTCCAAGTACTTTAGTTGAAACTCTCAAACCTTAATTCACTTAAATAGAAGACAATAATAAGAAGGGTGAGTGTCTTACATCATTTGTAGGGAAAGAAAATCAGAAACATTGGTGGTTAGGAACACAAGAGTGGCAAGTTTGTGGTGGTGACAGTGTTGTTTAAATCAACCAATGAGAAGGGTTTAATGGATTTCTAGTATCTCCAATTCATATATTTCTATCCAAATGTTATCTTTTTTGCCCAACATAATTTCTTGTCTTATTTGTCTATGCAATGTGGCATAGCACAATAATTTCTTGTCTTATTTGTGTATGCAATATGGCATAGCACACAAATGCAGGGTGAAATAACTATCATGGGAGATATTTAAAAACATTAAAATGCGGTGAGCGTGGATCGAACACGCGACCTTCAGATCTTCAGTCTGACGCTCTCCCAACTGAGCTATCCCCGCTAGATGATTCTTCATATCTAGTAATGAAATACTTTGGGGGCGTTTGGTTGAGGAAGTTTTTTATGAATGATAGGGAAATGATATTCATAGGAAAATGGTAGGAAATAATAGGAAAGTGAGTTTGGTAGGAAAATATAAAAAAAAGTTGTTTGGTAGGAAAAAATTTAACTGGGAAAATTAGATAACTTTTATAAAGTCTATGTTTGGTTGTAGGTAAAATATAGATGGGAAAAAAAAAACAACCAACAAAATCCCAAATAGCCATGCCAATGGGGGGAATACCACATCTAAAGTGGGAATATTTGTCCATCAATTTTGATCCAAATAGCCATGCAAATGGGATACCTAGTAAACTCATTTAGGTGGGCAAATTTGAAAGCTTGTCAACCAAACATGGGCACCCAATTTCCCCACTTCACATTTCCCTATTATTCTTCTCAAAAACCTTCAACCAAACACCCCCTACAGAAAATACGGGGCAACTTTTTTATTTGTTGGACCTTGGTATATGTATTTTTTAAGCTTAATTTTAGATTTTGTAGGTACCACTAAATTATTCTAAATGTTGGAATTTATTTTTAGGAACAACGGAAATCCACTTACTCTTTTATTTGATAGTAAAAATATAAAAAGTAAATTACTTTACAATAGACAGACATAGTTACTCTATTTTTCTAGTTTCGTGTACCGAAAAAAATAAAAAAAAATTGAGCAAACGGATCATTTTAGTATCTTAAAAAAAATGTCATTAACATAAATTTAGTAATCCATCAAATTAAAAAATTTATTAATTTAATTATTATTTATGAAAAGTGACGTCTGTTCTGCCTCAGGCAGATATGTCTAACCGTAAGTTAGGTTGTTGATATTGGATCTAGTGCTTTATCTCTAGATACATATAAATTAGGTATCTTTGGGGCAGCAAATCACTATACACTTGTACGACGGCCTTAGCCAGAGGGAGTGTGTGTGCTATGTGGTTGCATAAATTAGGATTAGTAAAAGATCAGTCATACTTATGGTATTTAGCTCCCATTTATAGTACTTACCTTTAGGCTTGTGTCATTTGGGCTTTCTATGGATGTGGGTCTCACTCAGGTCTATAACAACGTCAATATAGTTTCTTTTTTTTCTTTTTAAAAAGTATCAGAATAAAATTAAAAAACAATTGAATTCGAGACAAAATTGATATAATTCTAGACATGAAAGTTATGTTTTTCCCTATCCTTGATTGATAAAAACTTTGGGGAGTGATACCTTTTATTAGGGCGAAGAGTCCATGATTATTATATCTAGGAAGTGGATAGAATCCAGAATAAGTTATATAGGAACAATGACCAATGTGTCACTGTTCATTAACTTTTTTATCCAAATATCACGCGAACAGTTAAATTTACCAGACTGTCACGCCTTGAAGTTTGTTACCACTGATAGCGAACTTGGTAGTCAATAATTTCTTGACACATGACACACTTTCGCAGGAAAAACTGACTGTCACATGTTCAAGTTCGCTACCACTGATAGCGAACTTGGTAGCCAATGATTTCGTGACACATGGTACATTGTCACAGAAAAAGTTGACTGAACGAAGTTTGCTACCAGGGATAGCGAACTTCGTGTCCTACGTGGCACAATCTTGTTGTCCGATCAAAATTAATGTACCAATCACAATCAAAAAAGAAAACGAAAAAAATAACTATTTAATTAATGTACTAATCACAATTAATGTACCAATCACCAATCACAATTAATGTATCAATCACCGATCACGATTAATTTTGATCACAATTAATGTACAAATCACGAATCACAATTAATGTATCAATCATAATTAATTTTGATTGGTACATTAACTGTGATTGGTGATTGGTACATTAATTGTTTGTGATACCATTGTTACAAATTCAAACGATGTTTGTGAGAGATAAAATATGTCAAATAAGGTGTTATTGAGTAAATCTCGAAAATTTATATGAAATAGAATAAAAAATATCCGATTTGGATATCCGAATCAAAAGTTATGGCCCTCCGAAGTGATTGGTGATTGATATATTAATTGCGATTGGTACAATCAAAAGTTATTTCCATTGGTACATTAATTGTGATTGGTACGTGATTGATGATTGCTACATTAATTTTGATTGGTACATTAATTAAATAGCCATTTTCCTTCATTTTTTTTAATTGTGATTGGTACATTAATTCTGATAAGGCAACGAGATTGTGCCACGTAGCATCTAGTTCGCTTGGACCTTTAGCGAACTTGGTGCATGTCAGACACGTGGCACACCTAGTTTGCTGCATGTAGCAGCGAACTTCTCCAATATGTCAGCATTTATTGCAACGTAGTTCGCTACTAGGACTAGCGAACTTCTCCAATATGTCAGCATTTATTGCAACGTAGTTCGCTACTAGGACTAGCGAACTTGTTGTCCACTAGAAATGTGCCACAACAGCAAATCAAGTTCGCTGGGCACTATAGCGAACTTGCCCGCGTGACATATTGGGAAATAATACTGTTCGCGTGACATTCAGGTAAAAAAGTCAATGAACAATGGCATTTTGGTCACTGTTTCAAGTTATATATATATATTTTTGGAAGGGTTATATTTACAAACTTTTTGCTTACAAACTACATTATGTACTATCGGAAGTACACTAGGTTATACTATGTACTTTTGGGAGTACATAGTATAATTTACAAAAATTTGTAAAATTTTTTGTAAACGGATCCTTCCCTGTATTTTTGTTGAAGATAACTTATATATTATAAGGGGAATGATATTGTAACAACCAAGTTGTGTTACTATCAAGTTACTACCAATTAATCTCATCGTTAGATCAATTATGTTGATCCAACGGTTATATTTATTTCCATATTTGTATGGTCATGATTTTTAAAATTTAAAATTTTATATTTATTTCTATCTTTGTATGGTTATGATTTCTCATATTTAATGCTTTCACTTTGTATGGTTATGATTTCTATCTTTGTATGGTTATATTTATTTCTATATTTGGATTAACATAATCGATCTAACGGTAAAAATGATTGGTAGTAACATGATATTAACACAATTTGATTGTTAAAATATCATTCCCCATATTATAAAGTGAAGACATTCCACTCTTGATGATCTACGTGAATTTTTCTCAATAAGATTTCAGTTATAAAATGGGAATAAGAAGAAAAGGTCCTGGGGAGGGGGCTGAACCTTTAGCCATCACTGCTCCCCCGCACTCCGGATTAGTCCCATAGCCGGCTCAAAGAGTCGAAGCTCGTGGGGATACCGGAGGGAGCCAACTCGTCTCGAAGAGATAATTAGGGTTGGGTAACTCTAAAAGAAAGAAAGAAGAAAAGGTCCTATTCCTCACGTGCATAATATTTGAAATTATTAAAGAAGATTTCAAATATGTCTTTTGAACATCAAGCAATTTATAGTTTTTTTTAAATATTTTAAATATTTAAATTCTAATATGGATCCAATTAATTTTATCATGAATATGATCCCATGCATCCCACGAATCAAACACTAATTATTAGATTTAAATCCTCTCTAATGAGAGAAAAATAAATGAATCATGAAATATTTATATATTTATCTTTATAATAGAACTTTCTATTACTATTTAAAAGTCAGAGAGAATTCATATCCGAATTATTGAGTGCCACTATTAATTTAAAAAATATTTTCCAGAAATCAACTCCAAAAGGGAGAATGCATATGGATACATAGATAAGCAAAGGAAAAAAAAATAAATTATTTTAAAAATAAATGCGCACATCCATCCTATCTTCATAGGCCAACCATGTTTTCTTATAAATTTTAGTAAAGTCATTTCTTACAAATTAGTATTTTCTCGACTATGGGTTTCAACTATTTTTTAGAGTTTAATTTTAATAAACTGCAAGTGTAAAATAATTTTACGGTTTTATTAATAGTGTATTTGAAAATATACTGGGAGTTAATAGATTGCATATTATTTAATGGGTTTGACCATACAAAATACGAGTAGGATACTGGGACAATCAAGTCATGTTATAACGATGTGACTACCAGTCAATCTCACCTTTAAATTGACTTTTTGATCGAACGATTCTGATTTAATGGTTATATACCCCCTCAGTTCACCTTCTCTCTCCCCCTTTCTCTCTATCATACTCTCTCTATTACCGGTCATACTCTCCACCGTCGCCGCCGCCCATAGCCGCCGTCGCGCGGACGCCCCTCCACCTCCGCCGTCACGCCGCCTCACTCCACCGCCGCTGTCGCGCCTCCCCCTCTAATCCACCGCCGCCGTTAAAATAAGGTATAAGACATACGCTCTGTTTTGTAAATGCGAAACTTTAATTTCCAGTTCTTGTGTGTGCTGAAAATTTAGGTGCTTATACAGATCCAGTTTAATTTCCAGTTCTTCACATAAACTTTAATTTCCGCCGCCGCAGGGTTTATGAGTGCTGAAAATTTTCATTTATCGTTATTAGGTGCTTATGCAGATCTTTCCTTTTTTGCTTTCTTTGTTCATATTCAATTAAAGACTTGGCACGACAATCGAAAATTGATTTCAAATGGTTAAGAAGAATTGGTGTGGGTTGGTTCCAATTGTATACAGTATAGTATATAAAAGATGCATCGAATATGGTCTAGGGGTATATTGAATACATATAGCTATTACACTTTATAACCTTTTGACCAAATAAAGGATTGTATAAATCGGATACTTATTTCTTACTGATTCTATTGCATATTAAATTATTAATCCTGTTATGTTGTTGCTTCTTTGATACATTTGTTCTATACAATATAGATGCTTTGATTTGGATGAACTTTTACTGGTTTTTAGATAGTCAAATAAAAATGAGTTTTCCTATATTACAGTTTATTATGTAAAAGGCACCAAATCAAAAGTGACAATTATGAGAGAAGGATAGGGGTGAGGGTCTGAGGGCATCCTTATAAGTAGTTACCTTTCGGTCACAAAGCCACACCTTGATTTCCTTATGTTAGATTTTAGTCTTGTAACTGTTTGACAGTCGGGAAGTGTATAAATTTCCAGTGTGGAAATTTATTCAATGTCATTTGGTTTGTGAGATTGCAGAATCTATGTCATATTGTTTAAAAATCGAGATTAGTCTATTTCTCAAGTGGATTACTTGTTGTGTTTGTTAGCTTCTTATCCGATAGTAGTTCTCTTGTAACTATTATTGTTAGTTAAGTGATAGTCATTTGCCTTTGTGTCTTGCTTGATGTGCCAAGGATCTGGACTTAATATATCCTTGAACTTTGAGTAAGTTGTTCTTGCATAAATGTGTGCTTTGTGATGTAGCTTATCATTTTCATCAATCTTCTCTTAAAAAGGTTAAGAAAAATGGGAGATAAAAAAAAACTACTCCCATTAAATCCCGGAATAAAAATGGGAGATAAAAAGGAAATCCTTGCATCCTTGTTCCTTGTATATTTACAAAGAGTTGGATTGGTCTGTATGAGATTGTGCTGATTGAAAAGATTTTTAAATGCAATACAAAAATGTGGAGAATTACACTATTTGACGACAACCATAATCATGGTCTTGTGACTCCAAAGAGTGTTCGTTATCTCAGATCACACAAAAAAATGTCTAATGCTGCAAGATCGTTGGTTGAACACTTTAGTGATGCAAGCTTGCCCACAGGAAAAGTGGCTACCATCTTCAAAGGCGATGAGTTATCATTTGACAGTCGAGATTGTTATAACCATCTAACAAGTGTGAGGAGAAGAATATATAACGCAGGAGATGCACAAGCTGTGTTAAACTATTGTGCTAAACAACAATCATTGAATCCAAATTTCTTTTATTCCATTAAATGTGACGATGAAGATCGCATGGAAAGCTTTTTTTGGATTGATGCAAGGTCCAGGAAAGCTTATGAGCTTTTTGGTGATGTCATCACATTTGACACGACATATAGAACTAATAAGTATTTAATGCTATTTGGACCTTTTGTTGGTGTAAATAATCATTTACAGTCAATCTTGTTCGGATGTGCTTTATTGAAAGACGAAACAAAAGATACTTTTATTTGGCTATTTAAGGAATGGCTTCGAGGAATGAATGAGAAACATCCGGGCGCCATAATTACTGATCAGGTATAATCATTTTAAGTACATATTTTAAATTGTTTCATTTATTAATTATTGTATTCTTACATATGTCATTGAATTTATAGGACATGTCAATTACCAATGCAGTATCCAAAGTTTTCCCAAACAGCAAGCAATGATTTTGTATGTGGCACATCACAAAAAAGTTTCCAGAAAAATTGTCTCATGTCTATCAGAGCGATTTCAATAACTGTATCCATACAAAAAAGAGCACTCAAGATTTTGAAGACAAATGGCAACGTATTCTTGATAACTATGGTCTTCATGAGAATGAGTGGTTGCAGTCACTTTATTCAATTAAAGCGTCTTGGGTACCAATCTTTAACAGATCCATTTTCTTTGCTGGTATGAATACCACTCAGCGTAGTGAAAGCATCAATTCATTCTTTGATGGTTTTGTTACATCTGGCACAACCTTAAAGGAATTTGTAGAAAAATATAATCAAGAAGTAGATGCTCGTTATGATTCATTCAAAAAACAAGACTTTGAATCTAGGCACAAAGAAAGGCGTTTAACATTGAATATGCCATTGGAAGAGCATGCAGCTAAGGTTTACACGCGTGCATTTTTCACAAAGTTCAGTGATGTGCTTTCTCATAATTTTCGTCTCTCTTAGGAGAAAATTGGAGATGATGGTGAGTGGGTTACCTATCGAGTTTTTAATAGGAAAGAGAAGGATTATTCTGCAACTGTGAAGATGAAGTTGGAAAATAAAGAAGCAAGATGTTCTTGTCAGTATTTTGAGTTCATGGGAATCCCATGTGAGCATATTATTTCTATTTTTTTGGTTGAAAATGTTGAGCAGATCCCTGAACATATGATTTTGCGACGCTGGAGCAAGGAAGGAAATGATATAATTAGTACAAATAAATACATTTGTAATTTTGATGGTGAAGGACTCCTTCGCGGCTTTGAAATACGCTCTAGAGTTTCAAAACTTATTGAGCTTGCAGATAGGTCCAATGAAGCAACTAGATTCGCTTGTAATGGTCTTGATTCTCTCACTGAATCTTTAGAAAAATTTCCAAGACCTGATGAGAGTATTGGTCTTGAGGATTTTGATTCACATTACTTGAGTTCTCAAGCTGAAGAGTCATCTATGATGAGATTGAATGATCCTAACATTTCACAAACGAAAGGTCGAAAAAGGGAGTCACACAATATCTCACAGGGACGTAGAATTCATAGTGGAATTGAAGAAGCATCAAAGAATACTAATATTTGTGGAAATTGCAAGAAACGAGGACATAATAAGCGTACATGTAGAGAGAAAAATTTACATTGACTTTAGTTGTTTTATTTTTTATTTTGGGTTACATGACATTTTACATGATTATCATTTAATTTATTATTTCTTTTAGTTGCTATAAGACATATTGTATCATTGATATAAATATTTTTGTAATTTGGTTTATTCTTGTATTGAGTTTTTTATATTAGTGGCCATGTTTCTTTTTAATAATGCCAATTCACTTTCAAAAATATTGCAAGGAGAAAAAGACGCAATTTTCAATACAATGAAACAATGTGTACAATATAAATTTTTATATCAGCATCCTTTTCAACCGAATTAGATAAACCTTGGTTTACAGGATACAAATGTGCCTCAAAAAATACAAAAATAGCTTCTTATAAACAACAATCATAAAATACAAAAGTAAATTACATTATAATTATCAATAACCACAGTGCTTGTTCCATTTATCAAACTTCTCTTTTTTTACATGAATATAATGAAACAGATTCACACAAAAATAAGGGAGAATCTGATCAGGAGTCTTGTAAAGCTTCTATTTTATTAATCATGATGAACTAAAAAAAACCACCATAAAAATACATAATATCTTCACACCCCCTCACTATTTTAAAGACTCCTTTACATGTTTGGTTGAAAACAGCAAGCAAATACAAAATTGTTTGACCACAATGTAAAAAAAACAGAGAGATTCCATTGACCCCAAGTGGATATTATCTTGATTCACACCCCCTCATCATAGCATGTATCGAGCACACCAACCATCGTCTAAGGGTCCCATTGTCTTGGTAACTTTGCACCATTACTCATTGATTGCTTGAACTGACTTGTGTTGGGGACCAAATGACATTTGTATTTTCCATCAACTAGCCATGAAGAACATATTGGCTCCAATCTGGGTCAGCTTCAGCAACCTTGTTAGAATAATGAAGTTGAAAGCCATCAAAGGCTTCACATATAACAAGCATTGTTAGAATAATGAAATGACTGCACAAGAAAACATAGTAATTTTATTGATCAAAAGGCCTAAATAAGGGTGTTGTTATTAACATTGTTGTGGGAGATATAATTGGAATTTGCCTTTTAGGTTTTCTGTTCTCTTACTGAACATCAAATTGTCTGCAAACAAATGTACCTCACTTTACCTGCATAGCATGTCTATGAAGTTGTATACTGTGCAATGGAATAAGTCCTTCCTTATAACGTGAGAAAACAATCAAAGATCCCTTGGCAACCATTTTGAAAAAGCAACTGAAGTGAATCATCTTCTATCAAACTCTGTGCTGCTGAAGGATGGCTTGCTAGTGCTTTCATAATATGCACAACACTTCCCTCTACCTGCATAAGCAAAATAATTTCAAATGCAAATTAACCAAGCGCACAAACTTATCCAAATTATTTTCTTGAAACCAAGTCATGTTTTTTACTTTCTATGCTCTATGGAAAGGGTTTGGACTGAGGGAATTTAGAGCTTATGTGACAAGAACAATCAGAATTAAAGTCTCCAATTAGAAGTTAATATATTCAATTTATCAAAGACCTGTCAACCTTAAGGTTGTCATAAACAAGAGAAAAAAATTATTTCAACAAAATTGGGTGTCATCCAGACATGGTATATATATCATGGAGAGAAAAAAACCTCAAGCCGGCGGTCTTGCCCATCAAAGAACTGCATGACTATATATATTTCTCTTGAAAATAGCACATAAAAATAGCATGAAAATTAGGAACTGCATATGTCATTTAAACACACCCAAAAGGAAGAAGTCCATCTTCACAAACACACCCAAAGATATTTTTACATAGTTAAAGCATCTGAATATTCTGACCAATTTTTCAGTCAGTTATAAACATGCATTACACAGCTGACTTTACAAACAGACAAGGAAAAGCTGCCACATAGTAGGCCATGTCTGCTGCAGTTCATGAAGTGCAAATTAATGAATACAAATTTATTCATATCCATTCCAACAGATACACAGAGACAGCCAATGGTTGCATAGAAACCATCATTTCTGACTTACCCAGGAAATCCTCATCAAATTTGGCAGAGAAAATTCAGCTGTACGGTGACATTATTACCAGAATGGTTGTAAGAATTAAAGGAATTGTAACTGTATTCACAAAACTCAGATACACAAAACTTTGAAAAATCCAACGGCTGCTAGTACATAATTCCACTTTCCTCAATCTCATAATGTTACAGCATTTTACAATAATGTAAAATCTAAGGTTGTGTTCGCATTTAGAAGAGCAGAACAAAAGGCTGACAAAATAGAGCGTAATGATTCTATACCTTATTTTAACGGCGGCAGTGGAGTGAGGCAGCGCGACGACGGAGGTGGAGTGGGCGGCGACGACGGTAGATAGTATGATGAGAGAGAAGGGAAGATAGAGTGTGATGAGAGAGAAAGGGAGAGAGAAGGGGAAGTGAGGGTGTATATAAGCATTAAATCAGGATCGTTGGATCAAAAACCTAATTTAACAGTGAAATTGACTGGTAGTCACATGGTTGTAACATGACTTGGTTATCACAATATCCTATCCCTATAAAAATAGCCATATTATAACTAAAAATTTACACTGACTTAATGTTTTGTGATCGGTTCGATTTTCATAATGAGTGAAATTATTCTGTATGTTCCTAACTTCCTATAATAATAGTTGAAATTTTGTTAACCTTACGGGAAATGATATACTTACCATAAAAAAAGTTTGTCATATTTACAACCAACCTAATCATCATTGATTTCCGTCAATCTGACGGTTATAATTTGTTGGAAATTATTTGATCATATTTATTAATAATTATGAATTCATAATAACTTATAACCGTCAGATTGACGAAAATCAATGGTGATTAGATTGGTTGTAAAGGTGATAAACTTTTTTGGTGGTAAGTATATCCTGCTCCTTATTAAACTTTACAAACTTTTTGAAACCTTAAATAAATGAAGAAGGTTATACTCATAAACTATTTTTGTTTACAACCATATCTTAACTGTTGATTTCCGTCAATCAACGGTTTCATTTATTGTGAATTAATAATTAATTAATGAGTTTGATTTGTGAAAATAATAATTGTTGATTGACAAAAATCAACAATTAAAGATATGATTGTGAGAGGTTGTAAACGAAAATAGTAAGTATAACCTTTCTCTAAATAAGTTATAGGATCTATATTACCGATATTAAATAATTCTCGATACTTAATAGTAATCCCCGGTAGTTTAAGAAAGTTAATGACCATTAGCGAATATAGACCCATTTAAATATTTCTAAAAATATAAAAAAAAAACTATATTAAAAATATTTAAATTATAAAACTATTTTTAAAAAAATTAGTAAAATTATAAGCTATTACACGATAATTTATCTTATTATCAGTTCCCTCGAACATTTTGAATGGAACCCCAACGGCTTTTTGACCCTTTTACCTCTTATTAATTAAAAAATAACCATTTTGCCCTCCTCCCAAAACTATACATCAATTTACCCATATTTAATCGATTACACCAATTATTTAGTCGATTACACCAAAACTATTGATTTAATCGATTACATTAATCGATTAAACCAGTTAAAAATCCATATTCAAGCTTCGTCTTTTATTCCAACCCAGAAAGGAACGTAACATCCTTAAAACACTTACAACATCGAATTCACTTCCCAGCAACCTCTTCGTTCGGTCTCAACTTTTGCAAGTGTCTTTTTTTTTATCATTATTTTCTATAATGTGTTTCGATTTGAAGCCAACTTGTACTGTTTCACTATTCATATATAAACCCCATGAATGCTTTCTCTATTCACTGTGAATTGCTGCAAGAGGATGTATGTAGCCTTTCGACATCTGCAAGCTTAAGCCAGGGTTCATGCTGCTGCAGCCACTGGGTTGCTTTGCCATACTGAATTTGGCTAAAATTGAGGCCCTAAATTCTTGCTGATGTTGTATTTTGAAAACTTATTGGAACTGTAGAAACCATCAGCAGTAACTCTAGTTACAAAATAAAATTTGATGCTCATTTACCGCAAAAGATTTTCTATTTTCTACAAAAAAAATCACGAGGTGAGTCAAGGTGAATTGCTTGCAAAACACAAACACTTTGTACCTTAGCGACAATGCACGTGATATTCAAAGACAAAAATTATATATATATATATATATATATATATATATATATATATATTAAATTAAGAAATTATTAGTTTCTGAAGCCATAGCTCGCCTATCAAAAGCAACTTTGTACATCTGCTCTCAAGAGTGCTAGAGACTCAGAAGTGTGATTAGACATTAGGTATTACAATAATTGAGATGAGAGAATGGAATTATCGAGATGAATAGAGAAAGCATTCATGGGGTTTATATATGAATAGTGAAACATTACAAGTTGGTTCACATCGAAACACATTGCAGAAAATAAAAAGTTGAGATCGAACGGAGAGCGTTGCTGGGAAGTGAATTCGATGTTGTAAGTGTTTTAAGGATGTTACGTTCCTTTGTTGGAATAAAAGACGAAGCTTGAATATGGATTTTTAACTGGTTTAATCGATTAATGTAATCGATTAAATCAATAGTTTTGGTGTAATCGACTAAATAATTGGTGTAATCGATTAAATAGGGGTAAATTGATGTATAGTTTTGGAAGGAGGGCAAAATGGTTATTTTTTAATTAATAAAGGGTAAAAAGGTCAAAAAGCCGAACCCCAACGGTCAAATATTTCGAACCATCCAAAACGAACGATCCCCACCGTACACTAAACTCCCTCCTATCATCCAACGGCGTTTAACCTCAACAGCGAACAAGTCAAATCCGAAACAGAAACCACATACGTCGTCGTTTTGCAGCCGCTTCTCCTTCCCTCAACGTCACGCGCCATGTTATCCCATTTCCATTGAAGAGTGTTGTTCTCTGGGGTTCGTTAAAATTCGCATCAAGCAAGATTCTGGTTCAGACTCGGAGCGTTTTCGCAGTTCCTCTTGAGAATCATGGAAGCTTCTAAGAAGAACGAGATTGTGATCAAGAAGGCCAAAGATCACTGGGCTTTTCTGGTAATAATTTCTTTCACTTCTTGTAGGTTTCGTTTCCATCGATTCCATATTTTTCATTTTTAGGGTTTTGGTTATGCACTTTCTTGAGATTGGGGATTTTTGCTGCGTTTCTTGATAATTGTTCTGAACATTGATCTCTCATGTTCTAATAATGCTGAAATATGTGTGAAACTGATAGGGAAACCAGTTCAAGTTTTGTGGAGCGTAGAAGATTTTAGATTTGGAATTCGATAATCATGTTAGTTCGTGGTTGTCGTCCTCATCATCATTGTTGTTATTATTATTGTTAGCATTATTATTATTCATTTAAGGGATGCTATGCTAGATTCATTATTATTCATTTTAGGCAGGCTATGCTAGATTCATGATGTGTATTTAGTTACTGTGTTTGTTACTGTTTAGGGTCAATGTACTGGTGTCTTGTGTTAGTTCTGCTGCGGTAGTCAAAGTCGTATATTGATTTAGGTTTTTTGTTTTTGTGTGTGTGTGTGTGTGTGTTGCTACTGCATGACATACAGGAAGATATTGAAGCACCTATGTGGGCAGATTTGACTCTTGAAGCTAAATTTGGTGGTGGAGACATGTGAGTTTTTCAATTGGATTCCGCATTCCATTTTCTTTTGATCAAATTATGTTTTTTTATTAATTTTTTATTTTTATTTTATTTTTTAATTTTATGTTGCAGAAGGGATGATGACTGGTTCAACATAAGCCACCCGTAAGGATCCTTTTGGAATTTTTTTTCGGGTTTTCTATGTTGGGCTTGGGATTTTTGTAAATGGTTGAGTGCAACATTGCTATCAAATCATTTTCAGGTTCCACCAGTGGTCTGCTCGCCAGTTAAAATGTAAATTTTCTCATCCTGGCGAGGAGATACTGACATCAGGAGTTGATTCGCAAGTACTGGCTTCGCCAGAGCTTCCTTCTTCAGTCTCGAGATCGAGAGGCAAGCACTACAACAGCAAGACGTGGGAAGGTATTAATCTGAATACTTTGTTAGACAAACAGCAGGGTTTAAGTAGGAGATGCTTCCAACCGGGTTCCAGCTTTGGTCAGGAAGTGAAACCCAAATCAAAATCAAATGTTAGCAGGCCAAAAGGATTGTTGAGTGCAAAGTTAGGATTGGCTTTTGAACATAATGCCAGAGGAAAAGCTAAGTCCATTGAACAGAAGGGTTTAAGTAGGAGATGCTTCCAACCGGGTTCCAGCTTTGGTCAGGAAGTGAAACCCAAATCAAAATCAAATGTTAGCAAGCCAAAAAGATTATTGAGTGCAAAGTTAGGATTGGCTTTTGAACATAATGCCAGAGGAAAAGCTAAGTCCATTGCCAGTTGCAGCAATCCAGTGAGTAGTTCAAGTTCTGTGGATAACAAGACAGGTGAAAGCACTACAGGAAGCACGGTTACATCTGAAAACATTCTGCAACAGCAGAAATATAGGGAGGTATCTAGCCAACCATGTGGTCAGAAGAGAAGAAGCTCATCAGTTAGGAGTGTTAGTCTTGGGAAAAGTTGTCTTACAACAGAGGCTTCAAGAGTTCAGCGACAGCAGAAATATATGGAGGTGTCTAGTCAATCATGTGATCAGAAAAGTAGAAGTTCGTCACCTAGTAGTGTTAGTCTTAGGAAAAGTTATATTACAGGAAAAGCCTCAAAAGTGGAAATTGGTGGCGATAGCATGCAATCTAGGGGTCGTAAATCATCTTCCGGGAAGTCTAGTGTTGGGTCATCATGTTCAAACCCCGGTTATGAAGTTAAGTTTTTATCAAAGAAACTAAGAGAGAAAATCACAGATGAGAAAGATGTGGTCAAAATGAATCTTGCAGATAAGAACAGGTGCAAGCCTAGTAACATATCCAAGACATCTACCATTTCGGTTGAGGGAGCAAAATCTGGTAACAGAAAGGGCAGTAGCATCAATTTTGCAAAGCCAGCATACCATGGAACTGTAAAGTCATTGGTGAGAAGCCGCACTGTCCTTAAGTCACGTGTCTTTTTATTATGTGATTTGAAAATTCTTATCTTTAGTCATTCTGACTGACTTCTAAATGGAGCAACTATGACCTGTCCTACATGAAACACAGATTAATTGAATATTGAGAATTGCTTTAACTGAATGAATCATCAAATGCATCACTACATCTGCCTAATCAGACTTATTTTTCAGGCTCTTCCTTTTTATTAAGTGACAGTTCCCTTGTTAGTTATCACAATATTTTCCTTCCTAGCTATGCTGAATTTTTTTAATAAATTCTGTATTACTATTTAGAAATTATATGATTGTTATCAAGATTGCTGGGTTTACATTTTTGCAGGTCCAGTATCAGTCTCTATGTTCAACTTTTAAATCAGGCACAGATTAATTGAATATTGAGAATTGTTTTAACCGAATGATTATCAAATGCATTACTATATCTGCCTTATCAGACTTAATTTTTTTGGGTTCTTTCCTTTATTGACAGTTCTCTTGATAGTTATCACAAAATTTCTTTCCTTGCTACTTGTCAAATTTTTTATAGTTTTTGTTTTACTATTTACAAATTAAAAGATATATGTTATCAAGAATGCTGGATTTACATTTTTGCATGTCCAATATCAGTCTATACGTTCAAGGGCTTTGTTACCAATCAAAGTCAACAAAGAAAACTCGTGTGCTGGTGCTAAGGAGAAACTAGGAACTAGCAAGGTTAATAGTTTGACCGTCAAGGGAAAAGAGAATGCTACAACGAATGTGACAAGGAATCAGAAATGCATTGATAGAGGTGCTCCTGCTGCGGGTATGTTAAAAAATTATAAAACCACAGAACGCAAGCGTCTACAGAAGGGTGACACAGCAGGATCAGCTGCTTTGACAATACTGGTATTGTAGTCAATTGATTTGGTTCACTATTCTTTTGTGGTGGTTTTTTTTTTTTTTTTTTTTAATAAAAGAATCTAATTTTCAGACTTCTGTCAGAGTTCTAATATATCATGCATTATGAACTCTATTGAAATTAGAGAAAATAAAAGAAATTTCTTTATTTAGATGCATGTTGTCTTCCATTTTCTCATCATTATGTGTACAATATCCTTTTGTTAAATGACATTGTCAAAGACCTATTCTCCTAAAAAGTTAATTGGTTAAGTGAAAACTCATGAATGACTTTTCAGATATTACATGCAAGTGTATTGTTAATGTTTCTTCGTGAAGATTCACCAATTTATTTGTTTATATATTTATTTATTGGTTCATTCATTTTTCTTAAGAGATGATATTTTATAATTATTCCAACGCGCTTCTTGATCCTGCCAATGTAATATTTAGAATTGCACTACGGTTTTGGTTACTTGGTTATAAAATGCTCTTTTCCTTTCTCTCCTTTTTCGTTTTTGTTTGAAGTGCTCTTTGGCTAACCTTCCGAGTCTATGCAAATTCATTATTGCAGGGAAAAGACACCGATCAACGTGAAGAAAGAATCCAACTAATCTAGCCAGAAGGATTTACCTACTAAGGGTGTAGAGCTGCATGCTCACTTTATTTTTTCTTCCTTCTCTTCTCGGGTGATAAAAAATTAGGGAAAGAACTACCCCATTTCAAAATCTGGCCATGTCACATGCCTCAGTGAGAGGCCTTATAGTGGTTTATGCTAACTCTTGTATATGTATATAGTGTGTGTGAGTCTAGTATCCCATCCTGCAATTTTATTGATCAATTTAGGTTGCTGTTTCTGGAGGAATGGGTCAGGAGTTCATGGAGATTAGATATTAAATATGACACAATTTATTAGTAAAATTTTAAAATCTCAAGCTTTGAAAAAGTCTATGTAGAAAATAGGTCCCAGACCACTTTTATAAGGCCTGATTTACAAGTTTACAGGTTGACTTATATGGAATTATTTATTTTAATTAAATTAAAATAACATAATTATTTAAATAATTTTAATTAATAAAATAGTAGTATTTTTTTTTTTTTTTTTAATTCTTGAAGACTTAATAGATTGAAATAGGTTAATAGATTACCTCAGATTCAAAATATTTTATATAAATTTAATCCATCTACGTTAAAGCCTAACCTAACCGATGATTTGCACTCTAATTGCTCCCGATGGAAATGCCAACCTTTGGTACATCCGATGTATAATAGAAAATTCCCTATTGAAGACCTTCTCGTGGGTTTTTAATCATTACCCTATGAAGCAATTCACGTGCTCCTATCTATCATACATAATAAATTATTATTTATACATGGAAAGTGATGCTTGTGTTGATAAACTAATTACCAAAACCCTCTCAACACCCGTGCAAGCTATTTGGATTAATCTTGAAACTATTTCCTTTTTCCAAATGGTCGAGATAAGTTCACCTTGGAGTTTGAGGATAAAGTCTGCACTAATATCATTCATTACGAATGACATGAATGTATTCAGTGTATTGTTTCTATATATAATTGGTTGTCACAAATGACGAAAATCAATTGAAAATGCCCCCATTGAGGTAGAAGAGGGAAATCGAAAATGCCCCGATGAAATAGAAGAGGGATCTCCGGGATTTAACACTCAAGTACTTTGTTTACGCACTCATCTCTGCATAAGGAGTTATATACCTTAAATATGGGGCACGACTTTACTAGGCTGGCCCAATAATTATATTTGTACAAGGTAATGGGAGCTAGTGATTCATATTACAACAGTATCTTGCAGGAAATCACATACCAAATGATCACCTACTTAGAGCTCCAAATTTTGTTGTCATCTACAAACATGAAGAAAAGGGATAGTTATTAGAAAAGGAAATAGTACTACATAGTTATTACTTGTAGATCATTCCTTTGTTTTTTTTTCTTTTCAATATTGTTACTAATTAGATAAGTGATTCCACTCTCTAAATATAATGTATTTTCGAGCGGGTCGACCCGTCGAAGATAGAAGAAAATATTACAATGGAGAAATCTCAAATAATTCTACGGGTTAGAGTGAGATTGTGCGAGAGATATCCTACTTATAATTCTCACTAAAAAATCTCACAAAATCTACACCAATAGAAAATTCATTAAAATCGTTAGATTTTTGCATACCATGAGATTATTTTAGTTTGTTTAAAATCCTTATTGAATACCAGTGGATTTGTACGGACTCTAAAATAATCTTTTAAAATCCTAATCGAATACCACGTGACTTTTTTTCAATCTTTTAAAATCCTAATTGAATACAAATGTATTTTTTTGTCCAAAAACAGTCCATTAAAATACTTTAAAATCTCAATCCAATACATCTCCTTATAAATCCACATTGTCTTTCAAATCTTATAAATTCTATTAAAATCTTTTAAAATCCAATCTTACAAAATCTTGATTATAAAAAAAGTTTTTAAAAAAATCTTTAAAGTCTCTTCAATTTTAAATAATCTTTTAAAATGTAAAAGATTTTTTATTTCAATTTTTTTAAAAACAAATCCTAAAATTCAATATACCCTCCGGACCCGTGTACTTGCGGAATATATGAAAATAAAGACTATTTGATTATATTCTCACTGTTTTCCAAATTTTATAAGTTTTTTATACAAATAATGTGATGAAAAAATAAATCTCCCTATATTGATTCTTTAAATTAAATACAGACAACAAAAAAACGAAATCATTATTAAAAAAAAGAGGAAATCATTATCCTGTTATCACTCTCAATTAACAATGATTTATTTCTTAATTGAGAATAATTTTCCAAAATATATGGCGGTATTTAACGACGCAGTGTGTTCATATTGTGTGTGTAGTGTAGGCATTTCCAAAATCAATTGCCCGCGTAAACAAGATTGTTGCCTTAAACAAACGCAACGCGGTGAAAATTCAATCAATAAATAGCAGCAAAAGAAGAGCGCTGGTTATTGTTGTGTCTTCCATCACAGAGTCATGGGTTCCTTCTCCTCTACACTGCTTTTTCTTTTCTTCTTCTTTTCTTCCTCACTTGCCAATCACCATGACTCACTCCAACTCAAAGGTTAGAATTGTTAGTCTTCTTTTTTCTGTGGTTGTACTCCTTATATTCACAAGAACAAAAATCACTTATCTTTGTGTATATGGGTAGCTAGTTGTATGTTATATCAAATTGTTCACTGAATTTTCCATACTTGTGTTCGGTAAATTAATTACTTTGTTCTTGTACTCTTTTCCCTGTCGTTTTTGCATTTGAAAATAATCTTCGCACATTACAACTGCATGTATTGATATTGAAAGGCCAGTTTTGGATATCTCCCCTACCCCACTTTCTGGGGATTCAGCTGCTCATGGTGTTAAAGATATTTTACTATGTGAGCGTGTTCAAGGTGTCTGGTATCTCAAGATTGTAAAGATGTGAATTGAACACGCTCACATAGTAAAATATCTTTAACACCATGAGCAGCTGAATCCCCAGAAAGTGGATTAGGGGAGATATCCAAAACTGGCCTTTCAATATCAATACCTGCAGTTGTAATGTGCGGAGATTGTTTTCAAATGCAAAAACGACAGGGAAAAGAGTACAAGAACAAAGTAATTAATTTACCGAAGAAGTATGGAAAATTCAGTGAACAATTTGATATAACATACAACTGCAGGATATAAAATATCTTTTATATAGTAAAATATCTTTATAATCAAGATTTTGTAGGATTGGAATTTAAAATATTTTAATAGAATTTATAAGATTTGAAAGACAATGTGGATTTATAAGGAGATGTATTGGATTGGGATTTCAAAGTATTTTAATGGACTGTTTTTGGACAAAAAAATACATTTGTATTCAATTAGGATTTTAAAAGATTGAAAAAAAGTCACGTGGTATTCGATTAGGATTTTAAAAGATTATTTTAGAGTCCGTACAAATCCACTGGTCTTCAATAAGAATTTTAAACAAACTAAAAATAATCTCATGGTATGCAAAAATCTAACGATTTTAATGAATTTTCTATTGGTGTAGATTTTGTGAGATTTTTTAGTGAGAATTATAAGTAGGATATCTCTCGCACAATCTCACCCTAACCCGTAGAATTATTTGAGATTTCTCCATTGTAATATTTTCTTCTATCTTCGACGGGTCGACCCGCTCGAAACCGGATTCCACCATTGAAGCTTTGTGAAAGCTCACAAATAGCAACAATGATTTCGTTTTATTTTTTGTAATAATGATTTCGTTTTTTTGTTGTCTGTATTTAATTCAAAGAATCCAATATAGGGAGTTTTTTTTTCATCTCATTAGTTGTATAAAAAACTTAATAAAATTTGGAAAACAGTGAGAATATAATCAAATAGTCTTTATTTTCATACATTCCGCAAGTATATGGGTTTGGTATTTGTATTTTTAAACGATATATAATTCAGCGGCGAAGCCACGTACATTTTAGGTGTGGTCTCGACTCGAGGTAAATTTTAACAAATTATATTTATTATATATAATTAATTATAATTTAGCCCGAGTTAAAATTATAATTTGACCCGAGCTACAATTTGTAATTTGGACCTATTTAAAAATTAAAATATTTTTGGTAAGAGATTTAAGTAAGTTGTATTAGGTTATGTGTTTAATTTTCTCTTGTATAATTTTTTTTTAATAAATTAAAAAATATTTAATAAAAATATATTTCTTATTGGTACTGCCTGCTCAGGTGCTCTGTATTTAATATAATTTAAATGAGGAGGGTTATATTGACAAATTTTTTATTTACAAACTCTTACAAACTACACAATGTATTCCTGGAAGAACATTAGATTACAATATGTACTTCCGGGAGTATATAATATAATTTGCAAAAATTTGTAATAAAAATTTGTAAAATGATTATCCTTTAAAAGAATAAATATTTTTCCGAATATATCATATTAATCTTTTTTTTTTTGGAGTTACCCAACCCTAATTATCTCTTTGAGACGAGTTGGCTCCCTCCGGTATCCCCACGAGCTTCGACTCTTTGAGTCGGCTATGAGACTAATTCGGAGTGCGGGAGAACAATGATGTAATATCTTGATATATATCATATTAATCTTGATATATATCAATAGAGTATTAAATAATTTTGCATTAATGTAATATCTTATAAATACAATTTATATGATAGAAACTTTTATGGTAGATTTTGAGATAAAATCATCCAATGAAAAAATATTGAATGATGTAAGAGTGACTTTAATTATATCATTCCCTCCTCTTTTATTTATGAAATTAAATTAAATATAATATCACGATATAATCTCTGTAAGTAAAGTCAAGGTCATGTCTTATTTGTATAAGATTTTTTTTTCCTCGAATCTCATACATTTTATAATTTTGTAAATAAATACATATAATTTCGGTATTTTATAAATTTGATTCCTATAGTTAAAATACTAATAGAAATTTAACATGATGATAGAGTTGATTTTTTTTTCAAAAAGAAAAGAACTTTTAAGGTCGTTGTATAAGATTATCTAACATTTGAGGTTTATTTAAAAACAAATTTACACTTTTAAAATTGCTATGATTTAAAAAATAATTAATGAGATGTTTTTTGAATCAACTCACATTTTAAAAAATTATAATGATAATCTAACGTCAAGAACTTCATTAAAAAAATCTTAAATTGTAAAAATGCACGGGTATTGTTTAACAAACAACAAATGTAATTAATTAGAGAAAATTACGCTATTCTTCCCTTAAATTTTCCTTAATTACACATGATTGGCTCCAAATTTTGAAAATTACGGCAACTTTCTTTATATTTTATGGGCAGGATATACTTACCACTACAAAAGTTTATCACTTTACAACCAACCTAATCACCGTTGATTTCTGTCAATCTAATGGTTATAATTTATTGGATTTATTGAGAATTAATAATTATTAATAAATGTGACCCAATAATTTTCAATAAATTATAACCGTTAGATTGACGAAAATCAACGGTGATTAGGTTGGTTGTAAATGTGGTAAACTTTTTTGGTGGTAAATATATCTTCTCCATATCTTATATGATTGTCAAACTGTCACCCCTTTTAGTAGAATTTGATTTACAAGATAGTTATCATTCACAAATCACTAAATGTTATTTTTAACATCAAAAGGGAATACATTTTATTCAAGATTATTATTACTTATCTACCGGTTTATCAGTAATTCAATTAGTCCAATTGCAACACTGTCGAATTTGAGGCAGCTCTTCTAAAATTATTTTCTCCATTTTCAGTCTCAAACTCGAGATATCTAATTAATGGAAATAAGCTCCGTACCACTTAAATTTATAGTTGTTGGCAAGTAAATTTTCCATGCTTATCATCCCAATATCTTTGATTAACGAAACTAGTTATTAGAAATAATTTATATGAAATAGCATCATTCTTTTCAAATTGCTACAGAGACTAATGTTTATGAGAAATTTTTTTTTCCTTCAAAATTATTGGGTTTGTGCTCTTTTACTTGATCACAATTGGGCTAAGAATCTGAGAAGAGCCCAAAAAGCCTAGAGCCCAAAAGAGCTTAGGGTTAGGGTTTATTAGTATTCATATAAATACTACCACTTAAGTCATCAGCATCTAAGTAAGTTCAGATTTGAAAAAGTGCTCACACATTTCCTCTTTTCCCTTGAGGATAGTTTGTGAATTCTTGCCATGACACGGAGGAGATCGGATTGTGAAGGGAAATCATACATAAGGAGATTCTGCACAACATCTGCGCATCAAGAGATAAATCAAAAAACGATGATATTACATCCCAAACCGCAACGGTCTAAACGCTCTCGCAAAAAAAAAAAAAATCTCTAGTAAAAAAAATCTAGTTTTTAACTCTACAAATGTAAATTCTAAATAGATACTAACCCGTTTGATTTTCAGAGCTTGTTAATGCTTTAAACATAAAAACAATTACTTGTTCCAAACTCAATAAGTTTGATTATATACAACCTTACATTGATATATATGTAGGTTCTTTGACCCATATAGGGTTTCCCATATGTTTTTCATCTATTTGGTATTTGGTAGGAAGATTTTACCACAAAGGGGCATTTGGTTCCGCCCAAGGATCCCAACGGGTTCGAGCACCGTCCCCCACCCCAACGAAACCTTTTTTTTTATTATTATTATTTAAATTCTACATCATTTCATTGCTCCATTAAGTAAGGTATATCTAGGGATGTGCAAAAAATTAGTTCATCTGTCCTGCCCTTGTCTGACCTTGACCTGATCCATAAATATCTGTTTTTTTTTAACTGGTTTAAATACTGACCCACTTTTATTTGGGTCAGCTTTAGACTTGACTTATTTTAATAATTGACCCATTGACCCAAAATTTAATCCAGACCCATTAGCTACAAAAAGAGAAAATGAAAAATCACGGTAAGGCAATTAATGACTACGAGTATGATTTTGGACAATTTCATAGCATAACAGCGTACCTACAAAACAAAACTGAACCAGCAACGAGCAATTAATTGAATCCAGTTTAATATCAAATCCTACGAGACCTGTGCAGTTGCAATAGACAAGGGTTTATCTAGTTCAGACAGTCATGGCATATGTCTAGTTCAAATATATTACTGTTTAATTTGTATAGACTGGATTCCTCACAGGTTGGAGAAATTTCTCATATGCCAGTTTATAGGTTTACGGAGGAGTAAAGAAGGCAACGTCCTTTGATTATGTGCAATATATGCGGTGATTTGGTGCCAATGGTCATACAAAAAATCTAGAATTTTTTATCGTTATTTCTTGCCATTTCCGTTTCTGTTGGATAAAATAGTCTTAGCTTCTTTATGGTGCTCACCTAGTAGCTATTTAGTGGGGTTTCTTTGTTAGATATTCAAACGGATTGGCAGGATAGGTTTATTCTCCCTGATGTGCTTTTCATTTAGTTTCTTTGTTTTGGTTTGTGTTCTCTTTAAGAGGGTATACTATCAGTTGCTCCTGCAATTTCTTTCTTATGTGAAATTTCCTTTTATTGAAAAAAAGAAAAGGAATTTGTGACTTTAATCTCTAAACAGATTACATCAATTTATT